TCTGTGTGTGTGTGTGTGTGTGTGTGTGTGTGTGTGTGCAAGTGTGTGCGTGTGCGTGTGTGTGTGTGTGTGTGTGTGTGGCCATGATACTTTCTGGCCGGCCTTTTTTGCATTGTTACGTCGTCTTCCCGGCCATGTCAGAGCTTGAAATTACTCTCTCTCTCTCTCTCTCTCTCTCTCTCTCTCTCTCTCTCTCTCTCTCTCTCTCAATAACAAAACACATCCCCGTGTCCCTACCCCGGCATCCTTCCCTTCCCCCCTCCTTTTCTATCCGTGAATTAGGCCGCATTTAGTGAGTTCATGCAAGTTGTTGTTGATTACAACCGATAATTAGATCGCCATAAGCCAATCCATGCGATAGGACAGCGGGATGTGTAAGTGCCTAGTTGCACTACTCGCCATCCGCCAACATTTTGCAGTCCAGTCCAGATGCATGCAAAATGTTAGCGGGATGGCGAGTAGTGCAACTATGCAAAGGTAGGAACTACACATCCCGCTGCTGTCCTGTCGCATGGATTGACTTATGGCTTTTTTGGACCATTTCTCGATTTATGCGTGTCATCCCTCCTGCGCAGGGGCCATGCTAATTCATTCATTAATTAATTAATTAATCTTCTATGTGCCACTCGTTTTTTTTATTTTTCTTTTTGTGCCACTCCAATTTTTAAGGATGTCCAGAAGGACATAGTCTACTTTTTAATCCGTCATGAATGTGTCGAGTCTGTCGACCTCTTCTTTTTGTTCTTTGGACATAGTCTACTTTTTAATCCGTCATGAATGTGTCGAGTCTGTCGACCTCTTCTTTTTGTTCTTTTTTTTCTTTTCTTTTCTTTTCCCTTTCTGAAAAAAAAAAAAAAAACATGCTCTGATCTATTTGTGGGTGTCGACTTATTCTGTCTCTCGTGCCTATGCTGCATCTTTCTATGCTCGACCTGTCCTCTTTTTTTTTTTTTTTTTGAGCTAGGCCCGTTGGTGACCTGTCCTTCCTCTTCTTATTCTTCTTCTTCTTTTTTTTTTTTTTCTGTGAAGGGGCGATGGATGGTCCTTTCGATAGCATCATTGAACTGACCGGCCCCGGGTAATTCAGAATTACAGTATTTCATTCTCTGTTCATCTGATTACATACATCTTGATTGGAACTTGGGTCTCTGTTTTTTTTTGTTTTTTGTTTTTTTTTTTTGTCAAAAGGGCGACGGCCTTGAGATATCATCATTAAGCTGACCGGCCCCAGGCAATTCAGAAATAGTTGGTTTTACAACTTCACTCGTCAAGTTTCATCATTTGGATTCGAACACGGGTCTGTATTTCCAACCGTTCATGGGTGTACCCACTGAGCTAGGCTCTCGGATCTCTGTTTTCAACAATCCATGGGTGTACCTTGGGACCAATTCTCGGTTGTCATCAACAACAATTAGATCGCCGTACGTACGTCAATCCATGCATGGTTCGAAAAGCTGTTTAAAACGTGTGCATGCATGCATGGATTGACGTAGCGATCTAATTATCGGTCGTCATCAACAACAACTCCCTCCCTCCCTCCCTCCCCCCCTCCCTCCCTCGCTCCCTCCCTGCCTACCATCGACCCTCGAGAAATGGCATCGAATTCGGCCACCGCACAAGGGGGGGGGGGGGGGAAAGCTCTGACGTCATGACTGCATTTGGACCGGAACAGCGGTTCTATACGTCCATGGTGATGGGGCGTTATGTTCGGGGAAAGAAGGCAGCGACACAAGCCCTGCGGGTACCGATCAGGAGTCAGAAGACCTGGGCGTATTTAGCTCTAAAAATAAAATAAAAAATAAATAAATAAATAAAAGAGGAACTTCGGATTTTTTTCCTTCTCGAAAAAATGGAGAGTAGTTGAAACAAAACAACAAGGAAATCCCCCCCCCCCCCCCCCCCCCCCCCCCCCCCCACCCCCCCCCCCCCCCCCCCCCCCCCCCCCCCCCCCCTTTCTATTTCCCGCCGCTTTTCTCCCTCCCTGTCTCTTCAATGTGCCGTGGTTCAATAGTCTGAAAGTATCTTGCCTGGGAGTCTGTCCAGATACATGTAGTGGAGCGAGGTCCACTCTTGGGCTTGCACC